GCGCCTCATGTAGTTTGAGAAATAGGCATTAATATTGTTGGGAAAATTAATGATAACTTGGATGAATCGAGAGTTGTGTAAGCACTTTCAGATTGAATATTTTGGTTGTTCACTCCAAAATTCAATCGGATAAAACTCGAAAGTATCAAGAACGAAATATGAGGATTGCTCTGAAAAATCCGAACTAAAATCCGACCAAGGCCTGCGTGAATTTATAAACTTGCGGCAGAGGGAGAAGACGCCTATCGCGTCTCTTTCCCAAGTTACGCGATCCTTCGCGCGGAAGTTCTCCAAAAAACGGTGCTATCCAATCGGAGCTTTTCTTTTAAAGAAAATCCGAAAATTAAAATTCCAATTGATTTTTTAACGTAGAATAAACTATTTTAAAACCAAAATAAGGAGTACCCAATAATAATTTTGTGTCCACGACCCTCAACTTTATTACAAGATGCTCTCATTTCAAAAAGATCTAAAGGAAGAAGAAGACGGTCCCACCCGATCCGATCCTTCATTTTCTACAGTCCCACATAATTGCCCCCACCTTTCCCCATTTTTTCCCACCAATAATAAAACAAAATCAGTACGTGTAGGAAAATTCGTCCGTTTCAGCGATTGTGAAACGCTTTGCTCATTCATGATTCCATAAACATAAACGGACCTCAACCTCCTCCTCCTCCTCCTCTTGTTCTTCTTCACACTCAAACTCAGTCAATCAGAATTCGATTCCTCCGGCGTTCAATCCTCTCCGAGCTATTTCCGATCTCTGTAAGTCGTCTCCCTCTCTCACTCGTTTCGTGATCTAAACAAGGCGAGTGTAGCTGGAAGCGTTGCGTTTGATATGACTTTATCTATTGAAATGTGATCGATTTCCTATCGACCATCAATGTTGCGATATATTGTTTTTATTGAATTTGAGGATTGGTGTTTTCGTGCTTCATCTGGCCGGATGCTTTGAGTGTGACTCCGTGCTTCTGCAATGATTCGAAATATGAATTAGTTTTCATCGCTTCTTGTAGTACATGTGATGAGTGAACAGAACTTTAGGGCTATAGAAGAGGAGTTAACAATAAGGTGAGGTATGTGGTTGCAACTGGCGAGATGAGCTCATGAGCAGCTTTGATGTTGACTGAAATTTTGGGGCGGATGGTGGATAATCATGCCAAGCATTAGAGTTCCAGCTACCAAGAGAACTACAACTTTAACGGTTCGGTGTTAGGTTTTCTAATTTTTGCATCCCGTTTGATCTTATACATTACTTGAATTCTTGTTTCTGTCATTATGTGGATGTAGGTGGCTGTAAAGTGCCGACCATCTACTGAAGGAGAAAGCACTCATGGTATAATTAGAATCCTCAATGAGAAAGTGCGTCTACCTTCAATTGTTCGTTAACTTTTCCCAAAAAGTTCCTGTTTATTTTTTTTGGCACGCATTGGGCAATTGTTTTTGGCAATGCTAATTGCAGGAGGTGCTTGTTTTGGATCCTGACCTATCAAAGGATTACTTGGAACGCTTACGGAATAATACCAAAGAGAGAAGATACTCTTATGATTATGCATTTGGACCTAACTTCAACAATGTGGTATGCTAAAACAGTTCACTAACTGTGTGAGGCTTGCTTTGTCATGTAAATATTGCTCAACAGCATCAAATTGAAGATCCAATATCATTGGTCTCTTCACCTCACTGTCATGTGCTCCTTAATTGCGATAATAAATAAATATTTATCTCTCATTTCCAATGTTGCAAGGATGTGCTATGACGAAAGGCTAGCATCTAGGTAGTCTATGTGGTTCCTATGTATTTTTTTCAAAATGAAATTTGACAAAATAATTCAAGTCCTAATAAATATGTGTATACCTCTAAATGGCTAAATTAACCAATAATATTTTTAAAATGTTTGCATGTTTTGTGAAATTAAAATCTATCGATTTTACATAACATAATCAACCAAAACATACCGCATACATCTAGCAATCGTTCTTTACATTCTTCAATTAACAGATGACAGAACTACACAAATAATGATGGCCGACTAGCACCTAGGTGGCCACCTAGCCTGTTTTAACAACATTACTCATTTTTACTGTTTTTACATGAGTTAAGACATTCTTATGCATAAATTAACAGCTTGCAGCTTAACTTTTATGTCAAACCCCAGTCTTTTTGTAGAGGATGAAAAGAATGTTGTGTGGCATAAAGTTATAAAGTCTGGTGTGTGTGCTTGTGCCTGCTCGTTGATACCAGCAGCCAGTAGTGGTTATTATTGTAGTTAATAATTTTTAATCAAAATTCCAGTTTCTGTGTCTCTTTTCCTTATCCATAAAAGGGTTGCCTGGTCGATAGGAGGATTAGTTTCTTATTCATAGTTGATTGACTTCACTGCTCCATTTTCACGATGTGTACAAGAAAAGTATCCAATCTACAATAGCTGGAGTTATTCAAGGGCTCAATGCAACTGTGTCTGCTTATGGAGCTACTGGAAGGCATGTCATACATTTTAAGCATCTCATTTTACCCCATTCCCCATCTGAGATGACCAGCATGTTTCTGAGATGCTGGTGTTAATTTGTGATTCTTATTTGACTTGTTTTGTGTTTACATATTTCAACTATATGCTTATGAGTATTGTTTTCCTAACAGTGGTAAAACATATACAATGGTTGGGAATAAAGGTGATCCTGGACTTATGGTTCTGAGTCTTAACACAATTTTCGATCTTATTAACAAGGATAACAGCTCTGACAAATTCGATGTAACTTGCTCGTACCTAGAAGTGTACAATGAGGTGAGAAGCTTATATATCAATGATGCATGCATGTTATGTAGTTGTAACTAAAATGTATGAAGCCAGTCTTTGGTGGGGGCAGGTTATTTATGATTTACTTGAGAAATCATCAAGTCACTTAGAGCTTAGAGAGAATCTAGGGCAAGGAATAGTGGTTGCTGGTCTAAGATGCATTAAGGTTTGTTATCCTTCTGGCACCTTCAAGATTTGCCAATCTCTTGCACATATTTGTTTGAACTTTGAAGTGATTCCATACGACAGCTTTGTAAAGCATCATTGGTCTCAATGGTCTGTGTGGTTCTTGAGGGTCTTTTCTAAGGTTTATGTGCTATCGTGTAAGCACTATATTGTTTCAACAGTGGTATTCCCTAGGCATCTTTTTCTCAAAACTAGGTTTTTTTCTTTGTATTACTGGTTTGTTGCATTTGCAACTTTCCTAAATTTTACTTGTGTAAGAAAGGTTGGAAAAATTATGTTTATGTTCAGTACTTTTATCCAAAAGTTTCTTGTGCGCTTCATCATTCTTAAAATATTGGGTATCCTTGCTAGGTCAAGTAGTTTTAAGCCATCTCTGCACTGCATTTTCTTCATCATTATCAGCATTTTAATAGTGGAAATGTTTTACGTCGGATGCCCTTCATAAAAAGGAATAATGAGATGAATCATATAGTATTTTCACATGGATAATATTATACGAC